TATCTCTTAATACCTTTGAAATCTGATTCGTTCAAACGTTTGGATATTAATAGCGTTTATTTTATTTCTAAAATAAGAGTTTAAAAGCTCTAAATGTCCTCTGAAATTTTAAGTAGTAAACATATCCCTTAATACCTCTTACTCCTAATTCACTCTCTATCAAATGGTTCATATTTTAGGGACAGAAAGAGATTTGTTAGAAAAAACTATTTATCTTTTATACTTTTGTAAAAACTATTTGTCTTTTATATTTTTGCACTATTTTGAATGATTCAAATTTCAGACATAAAAACAAACAATCTTACTGATCCAGATTTCAGATTTTATGATCACCTCTTATAAATCATAAATAAAATCAAACTTTAAACTTCAGCACCTCTTAAAAAACAAACGTTACATAAATATCGGAACTCATTTTCTTTTTCTTAAATTTTGTTTGAGTTAAAATAAAGTTATGAAAAACCAAAATATGCGGCAAAGAAAAAACATGTCAAAATGCTGAGTTGACATCCATAGATACTAGGAAATGGATGGGTTGGACCCTCAGTTCTAGAAACCTAAAGCTCTTCAGATTCAAATCATTCATGATAATATATTTCATAAATCAATAGCAGACCGGCATGTTACGTCTCTTCTGATACAAATGTTTCATCAATTTTAATAATATAATTTATTATTTAGGATGTAGACTTCAAAATTACAATCATATCCCTTTTGTTTAGATGAAAAAAAAGTAGCCTGTTGAAACTTAAATTAAGTTGTGGGGTCCAATAAACAAGGTTATATTCTTATAATAAATATAATACCTTAATATAAGTGTGATATTTAATTGATTTGAGTTTATATTTCAAAGGTTAAAATTATTTGGAAGTCCCACTTTCGAATCTAAGGAGGAATAGAATCTTTTTTGTGGTCACGGAAATTTAAATGAGGTGACTTCAGGTTACTCGGAAGCGGGTGGTCACCCTGGGGATTAGTCAGTTGGAATGAATAATTTTTCTAGTTAGTATTTGTAGAAGCGTTATTCGATCAGTTTACTTAGGTTTTGACTTATTAGATTTTGAACATTTTTCTGACTAATTGATAACCCATCAATAGAAATAATATTATGTTTAAGAGGTTTTTTTGCCTTTCTTTTGTAAAAATAGGAGTGTTACCATCTTTTTAACTTTCTAAATAAATCTCAATAACATCTCTTCATTTTCTTTTATATTTATTTAGTGTAACACTTATTACATTTTATGTATAAATTTAGTAAATATTAAATATTATATTTTATTGTATAAAATCAAATTAGCTAAAATGCATACAATCAAATCAATTAAAAGCATTTAATTTAGAGGTGTGTTATATTATAAGCAAATAGTTTCAACATTCATTCATCACTAAAAGTCTTGCATATACTTAAGTATGTAACATAATAATTTACATCTTCCAATTTATGATTTTTACAAAAGAAATTCATACTCTCCTATTTTTACAAAGGAAAGTCAAAAGAGCCTTTTAGTTTTGCAAAAAGAAAAAACTATGTGTTTTAACTTTAAAATATAAAGAAAAGTTCTTTAATTTCTTATTCGTTTGAACCAAAACCGTACAAAAATAACTAAACACCGAATTGAAAAAACCAAATAAGAAATTATAACCAAATAAGAAATTAAAAATATGAGGAGGTCTTGAGAGAAAATAGAAATAGTTGAAAGTAAATGATAAATGAGCTGATAATTGAATGGTTATGAACCAAATACAAGTAATTGTAATAAATGTTGATTATATAAACAGCAATGATTCATGGAAAAAGTAAGAAAAAGCAAAGCAGGGTGGCCACAAAAAGGAAGGTAACCCTGATCATCCCGTGGTTAAGTCCTTTCTTTGTCATGTTAGTTGGAGAGTTAATAAAAGCAACACCCTCCAATCCCTTCTTTTCTATTTTATTTTTATTTTTATTTTTATTTAATACAACCCCATTTTTCATTTTTAATTCCCACTACCTACTTATTTATCATTTCAAATTTTATATTTAAAACCAAAAGTTACACACACATATATAAACTTCTTCTTTTTTATGCTTCCATCCCTCTGTAAAATATAGATCTATCATTTGCGGACCAAATGATATTTTGATAATTTTTAAAGAGAAATGACTAAGAACTGAAACCATAAACAAAAAATCATTATTTTTAAATCATCCATTTTAGTGGTTTTAAGGTTCTTTTTTCCAAAGTTCTTTCTTGATTTTTTCCGCCCCCAACACACATATATAGAGGTTTGATTAAATGAGAACTTGACAGTTTGTGATAATCTAAGATCTAATGTGAGTCAATTATTTAACATAAATTAATGTTATTTTTTAAAATAAAATAAAACGATAAATTTGTAATTTGATATTCTCGTTTTGTATTTAATTAAATTATTTAACAAATATATATATATATATATATATATGGGAGGAGGGTTCAAACAAGAACCCTTGTGATTTACAAAAATACGAGAACACTTTTAAGTCAAATATTATGTTATAAAACACAAATCTTGAACATGTGGGGGATTTTTTTTTAAATTAAATAAATATTTTACGGTTTTGGATATAATAAAGACGTGTAGGAATAAAATTCGAAATAGAAATAATAAATCAAATAACACGATCAAACTATACATATCGCATATCTATCACAGGAGATGATGGTTTCATATATGTATCACATTGGAAGCAAGTAACGTCTCTCATATATTATAACACGATTATCACATTGTTTTGATTATGTTTTACTAGGTTTGTTGGTGTCGCAAATTATCACACGCTTATCACATATTTTTGCCTCAATGGCAGTATTGTTCACAAATTATCGATTGTGGTTTACTGGGTTTCTTAGTCTCAACAATTATCACAAGATTATCACACGAATTTTTTCCCCAATGGGTTTATTGCAAAACGATTGTCACACGATTATCACATTGTTTTGATTATATATCAATTAGTTTATTAGTCTACAAAATTATCACACGATTCTCAAATTATTTTGATTCAGTGTCAATGGTTTATTAGCCTCGTAGATTTTCACACGTATATCATCTTACCTTGATTTTGTGACACTAGGTTTGTTAGACAATGTTTGGCAAGTATAAGTTAGCTTATTTTTTTGTACATGTTTAGATAAACATAAGCTAACGTTATATGTAATAGCTTATGAAGAGATTTTGTCGATTTGTCACTTTTTGCGATTATAAGCTCACTAATATTAATTATTATTACTATTAATCATAATTAAATAAAAAATTAATTATCAATAAATAAAAATAAAAAATTAATTATTAGTAATATTCATTAATATTATATGAAAATTATTAATTA